GAATACTGGGGTATGGGTGGTGGTAAGAGGAAGATATTTGTATGGGGCGCCTGGGGGGCTCAGTCAGTTAAGCGTCCGACTTGGGCTCAGGTCATGATCTCAGTTTGTGAGTTCAAGCCTTGCGTGGGGCTCCGTGCTGACAGCTCGGAGCCTGGAGCCTGCTTTGGATTCTGTGTATGTCTCTCTCTCTCTCTCTCTCTCAAAAATAAATAACCATTAAAAAAATGTATAAAAAGGGAGATATTTGGAGAGATCGGAGAAAGTAAGTGTGGCTGTGTGGAAATGGTGAAATATGCAAGATAGTTTGAGACAGGACAGACCGCAGTCAGGGAGTGTTGAGAACGCCAGGCAAGGCCATTCAGGGTGCCGACGCTTCCCGGGACCCCAGTGTGAAATAAGGAAATAAGCAAGGTAGCCAGCAAAGAGAAGAGCGTGGAAAAGCAGGAGCCCTCGGTCCGGGGAATATGGGAAGGGTTTTTAAGAAACAGGAAGGAGGTGAGCAAGGGCTATACAAAGGAGGGTTACAGATGGAGTGAGGAACTTGAGGGGGGCAGGGGAGGGACTCCTGGCTTGATCTTCGTGCGAGCCGAGCAGCAAGCTGGGGGGAGGTGGCCCACCTCACACAGCAAAGCTGACTTAACAGCGCCTGTAGGGAGAGAGGTCTGCAGTGAGGGGAGTCAGGGACACCCCCTTCTCCCCACACCCCTTGCCATAACCTCTGGGCTGTAAGAGGGTGGACGTCCTCCTGCAAGAGGGTGGCAATGCCCAATTGAGCCTCTTTCTAAGCAATGGATCTCTAAAAGTGGAGGTCTGGGGATCCAGATATATTTTCCCGGACAGATATTAAAATAAAGACCCAACTCAGATTTTCGAACTTCCTTCCAGGGAACTGTGTAAAATGCACCACTGTGGTATCATGCTTTGGGAAATGCTAACTCTGTCATTTCACAGACAGGGACGTGGGGCCCAGAAAGACTGGTCGCTCCCCCCAAGGATACACAGCAAGGCCATGCTGGCGGCTGGGACCCGTCTTCCGCTACGAACCCAGGGCACCCCGATCTTGACAGTGATAATAACGGATAATAACAGATAGTTTATTGAGGCCCACCCCACAGCAGACCCTGTCCTAAGCGCTTTTACGGGTATTAATTCATGACATTTTCAAGAACCCTACGAGGAAAATACGGCTATCCTTTCTATTTGACAAACTGAGGCACAGAGCCGTTCAGAGACCTGTCCAAGGTGCTGATGCTGAAAGAGGAACAATCTCGGCTCTCCCCCTTTTTCTCCAGCCTGTGATCCTGTTTCCACCCAAGAGTAACCGGACCTGGACAGAAAGGGGTCCTCGGCTGGATAGTGGGGACTGGGAACCACGGCTGCTCTGGACCGGGGAAGGGGAAGGGACAAGAGCTGCTAGATGTGATCACATTCGGACAGCAAGGGGAAGCCCTGGAAGCCGGGCCGGCAAACCTCCCTCGGGGACTGCTTCCCTCATTGCCTCTCCCCTGCCCTAACTTTCCTGAGTGCGAATCCTGGGCCTGTCTACCCCTTGGGGAGACCTGCAGACACAGGGCAAGGGACAGTCATGGACCACCCCCTGACCATTGTCAGCCCCAGAGGGAAGGAGAGTGAAGTCCTGAATCAGCGGCATCTTCGGAAGCCACTCTATCCAGAGCTTTGCACAGAGTTGGATTTTTTTTTAGTGTTTTATTTTACTTTTTGAGAGACAGAGTGTACGCAGGGGAAGGGCCGACAGAGAGGGAGACACAGAATCCAAGGCAGGCTTCAGGCTCTGAGC